CGTAATTTATGGAGAATAATGGAAAATATTTCAATTATAGCGGACGTTGAATGAAAAAATACACAATATGGAGTAACACGAAACACCGAGGAGAACTGCAACTTTAATTACGTGTTGAGTGAGAGCTTTTGTGCTGGAAGCATTCGAGGACAAGTTTGTGGAATAAATGAATGGTCAAAGAATTACCGAGCCTTTTCCGAAGGATCAACGTACGAGATGGCTTATTGAGGATACTCCGCGGAAAGTATACGGTTTGAGGATCGAGTCAAAGCGTGCGACGGGATTTTAATGCTAAAAGTTTCCGAGGAAGGGCAGGAGAGATAAAAAAGTAGAGGAAGCGAGGGGTTGTAAAGAAAGTCAAAGGAAAACGACAGCGGCAAAATTTCCTCTGCCCCGTGGCATGACGGGGGAGTGAGAATGCAATATGAGAGAAGTTGACGGGTGCAAGTCAACCTAAAAACATATAAGTTTTTTTTTCTCTGACAAATAAAATAGATATGACGTGAGAATCGCATGTATTTCCTTTATCTAAAACATGAACGATCCATTTCGTGTCTATGGCGTTTATAGCGGATGTCATGAAAGGGTAAAGTTGGGGGGAATTCGGATGATTGTACTGACGAACATTCTGAAAAGTTGAAGTATTTTCTTTGGCCAAATACTAGTGTTTCGTCGGTGAGGGTCTGTGTGGAGAAGGCGGATGATATAAGATGTTTTCAAGGGAACGCCCGGAAGGGGGGCAGGAACACAGACAGAAATGAACAACAGATAAGCCAGAGGAGTGAAAAATAAAATGTGCCGAAATTCGCATTCCCAGGCTGCCAGTGGATGCACAAAAGACAATAAGACCGCAGAGATGCACCTCCAGTGTGATGCATCCGCAGGAAATCGTAGCGCCTGGCTTCTCAGCGGGCATGCACATGCCTCCATCTTTCTCCAGTCGTTTTCTCTCAAACATTGTGTTGATTTGAAAAACATATGCATGCAGTGCATACATCGAGATTTTTACTTTTTACACATTGAGAGGAAAACTATTCTGGAGCATATGAATGAGTTCGGTATGCTATTTGCGAAAAAATTCGGGCAATCTCGAACTCGGATATTGGCCTGATGAAATGCAATTGCGAGGGCATGAAGGGAAAGAGATGGCTGAAGTTAGGTAAAAAAGTAGTTTTATACCAGTTGAAAATTCTCCATAAGGCGCCTATCTCTCTCTCTCTCTCTCACTCTGCCTGTACTCAGCGGTGGTATTCCAGGGAATTATTTTGGTCACGTGGAATGCGCGTGACTCGAGTGGAATGCCCCGTTTCACATCCTTATCTTCCAAGCCAAGCTTCCTCTTACCCTTCACCAAGGAAGGGAAGCAAAGGGAGGCTTTTACAGGGTAGGTATACGATACTTATAACGAAGGGGAACGTGTGCATTTTGCTCTATTTTTTTTCAACTTTTTAAGATTACTACAGTATACATAACTTGTCTTGCGCCATGCAAAATTGGATCAACGAATTCGTGACTAACTTGGAAAATCATGTCATCGAAGAAAGTGCGCGTCATATCTGTAATCCAAGGAAGGAAATAAGAAGACAGAAAACGCGAGGCAGCATTTTATCTCTTCATTAATATCCTCACAAAAGATGGGAGTTGCCTTCAGAGGGCATTGCAAAGTTGGAGGGGGGAGGAGGTGAAAAATTGAATAGAGGAAAGATAATGGAGGGAATTTGATTAAGGGAATTTCGTCTTCCTAATAACATGCTTCAGCGCCAGACTAGAGCCATAATACGGACTTTTTCATGCACAATAGATGAAAGAGACATTGAACGTGGAAGATCTTCACAGGGAATCTCCTTTCGCAGTAAAAAAAAATCAGGGTAAATGGATAGCAAAATATTTAGGATATAGAAATTTAATGAAATTGTCGCGTGAAAAGTCGTAGTCTGCGGTATGGTACAGTGCATTGGCCGCAAGGGAGGGTACTGAATTGGCGTAGAATAGAGGGAAATAGAATGGACAACTCCGGGAGGGATGATAGAAGTTTGGTGGGATAATTTGCATTTGTCAGTGAAATGGAGGTCGTTGTTGCCCACGGGGCCTCAGAAAATGAGCCCAGAAGCGCTTCTACACTAGTCATTCTCTCATTCCCATATTGAGTACATGACATTTATATATGTATACAGTCACCTATTGCATTGATGCCTCTTCACCTGAACACTAAAATTCAATGTCTTTGTTTTGAGGGACTAATTATAGCTTCGTCTTGGATCATGATGACCGATCAATTGCACGCGGGGCACTCGATTCTCTTGTTTTTACCATGAGCTCACAATATGAGTTAGCTACAAAGCACTAACGGCTGCTCCACTCTGAGCCAGTTAATCCAAATTGAGCTTAGTCGTGGAGTAGAGAACGAGAAAATCCTCAGAAACAATGCGAGATAGTAAAAGAGAGAGAGAGGCTAAAGGAGAGTAGACGAGCCAGAGGGGTAACATGGTAGTTCACCTTCACTTGATGGCAATGTTCCGTGGTAGAGTGTATAATGCCCCTAGCGTTTGGTGAATCGAGTTGGTTCCTCAGATCTTCACAATCCCTACTTCTTCGAGGCTCCGCGTTCTATTGAGGGAGAGTATAACCCCAAATCCTCTGTTACCCGCTGGTCTCTTTGTCCGACCTAAATTATATAAAAAGAAGAGGATCACAGCTTCGTGCGCTGAAATAGAAGAACCTTCACTGGTCAAATCTGCTCAGATTTTCAGGGAAAAAAACGAAAGGCTGGCAGGTGTGTGGAGAGCTTTATCATATATTTGAAGGTAGATTTGAGGGTATTGGAAAAACCCGCGACATTAAATGAATTCAAATCATGTCGTTTCTACTGCGTTATGAACTTTCCAACGTACCTGTGCATTATCCAGACTTGTCAAGTTACTCTCGATGCAGTGTCAAGAAATTATTCTTGAAATTTCATGCAGAGGAACTTCTAAGTTTTCATAACGATAAATTAAGATAAAATTTATCTGCACGTGGTTACTGAAAAGTCACTTGACACCTTAAAGATTCAATCCAACTCATATTTTTCGGCTTATACTACACTGACAATTCAAACAACAGTGGAAATTGAGGACGCTATTGTAATAAAATTTTATTTCTTCCTATATTATCTTCTAAACAATTTGCCTTGCTGTCCGATAAAATCTAGGAAAGCTTTCTATTTTTGATTCCGATATACTTGCTACAATAAAATAGGATTATACGCACATCCCGTGCGCCATAGCATAGAGAACGGACGTATGTCATGCGTGACACACGTGGGAATTGTTCTTGGATTTCCCATGGAAAGAGCGAAAAAATAATGCCATAGAACCATTAACAATATAACGGTTGAATGAAAAAAATAAGAATTGAAAATGATAACAAAACATTCAACATTAATGGATGCATTTGTAATTGATTTACAGAGATAAAATCACATGTGTGTCCACCTGCAGTAAATGTATATGGTTAATACCCATTGACTACAATAGCACAACATTCCGAATGCTGCTCTTAATGTGCTTAAATTACAATTCTACAACGTACTTCAATTGTATATTTAAAAAAAACGATGAGCGAAATGAAAATATTCAAAATAGGGGATCCAATTGCAGCGTAACAATAAAATTTCAGTTCCGATGAGCTTGGATTTCCAAATTACACCAGGTGCATGGAGGGAGGTCGATGTATTTCATAGGATTAGGTAAAAAATAGTGGTGCGAATAGTGCAGATAGAAGAAGATAAAAGAATGCACATTGTGGGTAAAATAATTGCATCGATAGTCCTCCCCGCAACGCGTTGGAATAATAAGCGCACAGTAGGATTACTTGCTCGCATTCTGTTCCCAGGGGTATGATCCCTGGGTTCTGGCACCACCGCGCCGTATATATAAACTCTCATGTAGCTAGTTCTCGGTACGACCCTCTTGACTTTCTCTTTCCTCTCTATCTTTCTCACTTGTTACCCGTAAAACCCGACAACCGCGCTCCGTGAATACCCGTTGAGCGCGAAAAACTCCGCTTTTGATTATTATTATCGTGTGAATCTAGAAGTAATTATTTCCGTTGGTGGTAAATGTTTCCTGTGTCGCATTAATTCATTTATATGTATACAGATAAAGGCTACACAGATACGGCTTTGGACCCCGTGACCTGGGCTAATGCACTCTTTACATATATTTTCCATCCCCGACAACTCACTTCAACGTCCCTTTTTTACATCCTCAGCTCGACTCTGCATTCAATCAACCAAAACAACGGCTGTAGTTTTTTCGCCGAGTGAAATTGGTTCAATGATTAGAGTGTAGAGCATTCCCATTGCACAACTTGTGAAAATGACGAATTATCATTCTTCAAACTCACCTGTCGCAGTTTCACAGGGCTCTTTAAACCGTCTGCACAAATTTGTGCAATGGTGCAATGGTATGTGTTCTCGTAATGCGAGGGAGGGAATGCTGTGGTGGTTACAGAAATAACATTCCAATTGCGAATTGGGATAGGTCAAACCCTACTGTTTGGACAGTTAAATGGCTCCATATCTCCACGTCTTTGCGTCAAATGGTCAGGAAAAAAAAATGAAACAGAAATTTTTCCAGATCAGTTGATTTATGAATTAGAAATTGCATCATTATGTATGACGTTACGATAAATCCGGCGGGTTAACCATAGGAAATTGTTCTCTTGCACTCCCAAATGTCACCTCAATTAATTATTTCAACTGGATATCCTATAGGGAAAAACGTTGGTTGAAATAGATAGAAATATATAGAAATAAATGGTGCGAAAATGCTCTGACCGTGGGGTTCCAATATATCGCTAAGATCTAGTTTCAGTAGCATGCTTTTTTATCTTAGCCCTCAATTTGCCCCCTCCATCAGGTAATTAATTGTTTACATCAAACTCTATATCTTTTCCTAAATGCTGTGCTTTTGACATCGATTGGTTAAAATAAATATATAGTGGTGAATTTAACTTACCATTTATGCAAAGTGCCAGAAAAATCTGAGCAAGAGCTAGTTGAGTAATTGAGGAGGCCATTCTATACTTCTCAGCAACTACTGAGGCTGAGAGTCACAATGGGTCCCCTGTCTTCTTTCAATGAAAAGCACAATCAAAAAGCTGTATGACCTTCTTGAGATGAAAAGCACAGGGGACTACGGAAGTTCTCCACAAAACATGTGGCTCGGCAATGGACGATTGAAAATTCTCCGAAGAAATTCAATTAACCTTGTGTACTTCACAATTAAATCCACACATAACTAGCAATTCATGCGAATTATCGGACATTTGAGATTGAAATTTGGATGTGGAGCACGTTGGCACTGATTCAGTTTCACTAAACAAATTTTCTCCCATCAAAGCAAACGTAACGGTGGAGTTAATGGATACACATTTGTCAGACTTGACGATAGTCTTTATAGACCAGTAAAATGAGCATGGAACACAATTTGATAAACTGGATAATCTTCTTCGGAAAAGGTTGAGCGTACGTGAATGAAAAACTTGTTATAGCGGGAGTGGTGACTGAATGTGGACAAGCGGAGTGATAAAAGCGACCTGTCGGGGTATAGACCCGCGGATGACTGGCTGACTAAACCAACGTTGAAAGTGCGCTTGCCTCCCCGAAACTGTAAGGTTCGCTAGTTTGCTGGCGCGCACCTGTCGTACTGCGGGTCGTTGCGCATGCTTCCATGGCACACGCAACTCTATTTATCCCTCCGTCTTGCTCCTTCTTCCCACCAGAATTCAGTTTGGAGTGAAAAAATAATTAAAAAGAAGATTGAATAAAGACAGCCAGAAAGAAATAAGGGGAAGCAAACATGGCTTATATCTATGGCCCATATCACGCAAACGAACATTGAAATTTCCGTGAGAGCAAGGGGAAGGAATACGTACATTATCAAAGCAATCTTTCGGGGCATTTTATTCGATGGCTTTTTAACCTTTTTAAATGTTGTAAAGCACAAAGGACATTGCCAAACACATTGGCCGAATAAAGTTCATTGATTATACGAATGATGTTGTGAGGAACAGACTTATTCTTGTGGAACCAGGTGGTGGGAAACATTGAGTACACTAACTAATATCAAGTCCTCATTGTAATACTTGTAAGTGAGGTGGTAAGACTACCTTGTTAACCATCTGATTCAAATGGGACGAGAGAATGTTCTCGTGGACGGGGCTTGTGCACTGTAACGAGTCTGTTCAAGTGATACGTATGTATACAGTGGGTGCACGGAGTGAGAGAGAGAGAGAGAGAGAGAGAGATTGGCAAATCCTGTACTTTCCTCTCTTTGAATGCATTCAGCATTGTTCCCAGTATTTCCATGTTTCTGTTACTTTAGACTTTTTTACTATGGGAATTTATTTCAGTGTAGTATTCTTTTTTATGCTAGTTGAATCAATTAACGTTTTAATGAAATACAACGGAATGTTGATTAATATTGCATATATACATAAAGATTGATTGCATTATTGACTGAATAACTGAAATTCTATCTGATGATAATGAATATAAAGGTTAGATAATGATAATGAAAAAGTATGCGCAATGAACTTGAGTATCTGTCTATATTCGCTCTACCCATGTAGGATGGCCGGATTGGCCTGAGGATCGGCCAAGCTTGGTGCCAATATTTCCGAAGCTCGGAAAAGAGACTGGCCTAATGCTCTATCGAGCCTTGGATGATAACTCCGGCCCGATTATCGGTGCCTTCATTGGCCCAATGATGGCAGCCGATTGACAGCCGAATCTTATTAATTTTACCCGAAAATATTAATAACTTTTATTTTTTATTGAAATTTTTCCTATTATCAATCTTTTGACGGTAATTGAAAGAAGCTAGTAATAAAAAAGAACAACCGACTAGACTGTAAATGCTCAGCATATGATTGGGTACCGAGGCACTCATTCAATTAATTAATAAAAAGTGAAAAAATAAAATTTTCTCGTTTTTATGATTTATTAGTTTATCTCCTTGATCACGGCGGCAACGATATCGACCCTGAAAAAACCTAATCGACAAACTCCAATTTTGTACCTGACAAGACTCGAACCTACGACCTTTCGCACACTAGTCCTACGCCCTAACCACTAACCTAATACGGAACTCTTGTAGTAAAAGCATAAAAACCACTTCATAAATTTCAGTCAGTTATTTTTGCGCATTTCTGTCCTTCTTTGATCAATTGATAGAAAATTATTTATCACTCGATTACTGAGTATTTCTATAATTTATCTAATTAAAAAATAATTGCAATGATGAACAGCAATTATTACTTTTATCGCGAACGCCTCCTTTTCCGAATTTTTCATTTATTATTCACTTGGCCTCAATGATTGCTGATTCCGCTGAAATTTCTACAGATTTCATTGATTAATGTTAATTATAATGTCATTATACTCAATAATTATTTTAAATGATGGATATTGGGGAAACTCCGTGGGGCTCATGAATTGTCAATGATGGACAAGCCGAACTTTGTTGGATCGATGTGGGCCAACATATTGGCGGAATATCGACCAATCGAGTATTGGCGAACGAAGCTGGCCAGTGTACTAGCCAAGCATCCGAAAACCGAGTGTTGGTCAGCAGATACTGGCCAATACATTAGCCAAGTCTGCAGGCTCGGAAATTCTTCCATGGGTATATCCTCATATTATACATTGATGCTATTTCTACTCATTTCTTTTGCTCAAAGACGCTCTTTAACTCGTCGTATGCCCCATCTAAACGTCTCTCGATTCGACTCGAAAGCTCTCTCTTTTTTAAGGAAACTCCGTCAACTTCGAAATGAACCTCGTGCTCGGGAACTTTTGAGGGTGGGGAATAGTATTCGGTGGAGGAACCAAAGCGAATAAGAGCATACGACTACCGAGAACTGCTGTACGTTATCCGTGAAGCTGTAGCTGTGCAGAGGATACCATAAGCAATGGCAAGTAAAACCCAGTAGGGATGACTAGAGAGAAGGGTGGGAGTTCTAAGGAAACAGAGAGTTGAGATCGCAGAAGCCCATGTGCGGGCTTCCATGCAGCTCAACTTAAAACTATCCTCTGTGCATCCCTCTCCTTTTTCGATCCTCCCTGCACCTTTCGGGTTTCCATCCTTGAACGTATTGCCTTGCTGCTTATTTACAGTAATTTTGAAGCATAGAGTAAATCTTAATGTCTAGCGAGGTGTCTAGGGAAAATATAAATTTTACATTCTCCTATATATACTTTTGTTTGTTTATCCAATTCTACAACGATTATTTCGAATATTTTAGTCGGTATTGCAGGTTGAACTTACAACTAGTAAAAAGGTTGATGAGACGATGAACAGACATTAGTCATGCATATATATATAGTATTTTTCGACCCACCATAAGCTACGAAAAGGTAGGGGTTGCAGTTGTATAACTCTATACATTTTATGTCTGCAATGCTGCCTCGGGGTGCATGGGAGGAAAAGTGACATGAAAGATATGCGGCAACAGATATATATTTGTTTTACCGTAACATCTCACAATATGTCTCAACTTGGAGTATGTGTACATATAGCTCGAGAATCACCGAATGGCTGTGTAAGCATAAACAAAGCATGATGTGAGACGGTATGAATCCGCTGAAATATGTGGCACAGATCGAGCGAAGAGACGAGCAATATAATTATGAACAACGATTGATTCGTCGAGGTTGGAAGGTATATAGATGTGAACGATTTCTCCCTTCGGATTGTAATTTCAAAATTCAATGGAGAGGCTTGGTAGATGTTTTTACTGTGAGTCGAGAGACTAGACTGCTACTATACGTATATGGTAAACGTCTATTGAATCCCGAGATAGGATGCCATGGTAAGACGAAAGAACTGAAGGACATTGGAAAATACTTGAGAATCTCATGGAAACTTATTGAGAATTGGTAAATAGAATGAATCAACGATCGTGATCATCAGTTTGTTTCTCCGTTTGTTTCCAATAGACAGTGAATTCCGAACAGACGAAAAGTTTTGCATTCCAAACTACTACCTCTGAAACTCCTAAGCAGCTTGGAAAGAATCGGGCCACGGAAGTGGGCGCACACTCAGCCACAGGATTTTCCACAGGATGAACAGTAGACTAAAGGCTCTCAGAAATACCAAAGAAACCGGAAGTACAAGTACGTTGAGTATACGATAGTAGCTAGTGAAAGAAATAAAGCATTGGCGAGAGCAGATACTCACTACTAACAGGTAAAAACTGGATTTGGTGCAGTCATTATAGTTGGCGAATTTTTAATGCTTCCAAAGCGATTTGTTCTGAAACTAATTCATTAAAATGATGTTACTTAGTGGCAAACCTTAATTTAATCATCACTTTATCGAAAGCTCAAGCTCGTGATAGCACTCGAGCGGAGACCATTACTTAATAGCCTGGTGGTTTTGTCTGATTGTGTCAGTTATCATTTATATACGAACTTCTCTCTGATGTTAGCAGGTCAAATTAACATTATTGAGAGGCAACAAATATCAAGCTACTTGACACTTTGATATTGTCTCAGTATTGAATCTTAATATCTGTACAAATAATTTTATGATTATTAATTGCCAATGCTATTGAGAAGTTTTTCATTTATGCGCTACGAACTTTCCATATCTATTCCATAGAAATTTTGGCATCCTGCCCGATCGCCGCGACCTGATTAATACTAGGGAAATCCACTTATACATTACATTACACATGTGAATGGTTGCGAAATACTATTAAATGGTGCAAATTAATGAGAATGGAAATTATCTTAATATGTTAATAACAGTGGAAATTCTTAAGGGTGAAGAAAGTGAGGTGCAAATGGAAGATGAGAAGAGTATGGAGAGCCGAGGCAAATGGTTTAATCAACGGTACTCGACGTAGTTGCAAAGTTGCTCTCGAATTACGAGGGGAGAGTCGAAGGATGGGAGGAGAAATTGGACATGTTGGTTGGTTATAGTCTCATAAATTCACGGCAGTTTGCACGCACTCCTGTGATTGCTATCAGGTGGTCGATTCAGAACAGTACGAGCTCTGTGTCATCTGAAAGAAATCAAGCATCAGACACCTTCAATCACTCAAATCATTACTTTCACTTGGGTATAGAGAGACCGAGTCAGTGAGGCTTCGCCTTTCAAAAAATATACAATGAACTCGTCAGAGAGCCTCATGACTTGAAATCAATTAATAATTATTTGATTGATGTAAAGTATCAACAATTCTAACTAGCGAATAGAATTGTTCAACATAGTAAATAAAAAAAGTTGATGAATGTCAAATATCCCCTTAACCCCCCTTAAAAAGTATCAATATATTTTGTAATACTAGAGCGAAATATTAAACTCTCTGACGAAAAATCCATTCTTATCCTCTAAGTTCCCAGGAACAAGATGATAGGAAACAGTGAGAAACGTGAGGGTAATACATCGAAAAATAGTGCTGAGGTAACCTCTGTTGTCCTTGAAATTCCTTCTCCATGTCACATGTAATCATTAGCATTTATCAATATAATTTTTTTCTGTGAGAGTATAATTTTTCTTGAAAAGGGATTTTGCCTAACGAGTACAAAACTTTTATGATCCCCTCATGATCGATTATGATTTGGAATAATATAAAAAGTGAACGTACATCCATGTATAGAATCCTGCCGATTTGTACAACCTATTTAAAACGATCCACTGTTAATACATGAAATATTTTTCATAAGGTGATGGCTTTTGAAAATTAAGTAACACAAAATGATGAAACCAAGACCCATTATTGAATTCCTTATTTTTTATGAAGAGTTTAAGATGACTGTCACAACTCAGTGCTTTAAGTAGAATGAACTGAATTCTTGTAACTCTTCTATGAAGAGTGAACATTTACTCAACAAATAAGGTACACACATATACTCCGCCAAAATGTATCCTTTCTGAAGTTTCTATCTTGGGAGATTGAGGATAAACTATTTAAATCAAATTATTCAACTTGCCTCTTGTTTTTGTTGAATGGTGATGAGTTAATCCTTAGCAAATCTGTACAGACTTTGTTGTTATGTTTTGTGGCGTTCGTAGTGCAGGCGAACACCTCGATGAATGATTTAGCTACGAGTGCGACATCGGTCGAGTCTCCAAATAGTGAAAAAAAACGGAAATGAGGAAGAACCCGACAATTCGTAAGACTATAGGAGCATTGAGATAGCCAGGTGTATGCAGGAGTTAAATCCCATGGGAGTGTATTGTGTCCTACGTTCGTGTCTGCGCCAGTGTCTTTAGTCCCTTGACAATTTTATTTTCATACGTTCTCCTCGCAATTTTTCTTCCCCAACAATTTATTGTACTTGTTTCAATTTAACTCGGGTTGGATAACAAAAAGTCTATAGAAGTGAATTGGGGTGGAATTTCAGGGGTACAAGCTCTGTTTGCATTTTAATACAGAAATTAGAGAAGAATGATGAAACCAACAATACATTTTGATGTATGAGTTGTGTTAGAAGTCATTTTTTCATGTAACATTTGTTGGACAAATGACAAAGTACTGTATTCCGACAGTCGGTATTATCATAATTTTATGTAAAATGCAACGATTCTGGGATGTCATATCTGTCGAGAAGGAAAAGGAAGAATAGGGGAGGCAACTTTTCTTTCTATCTCCCTAGAGTAACGAATCAAAAAGTAAAATGATGACGCTACGTTCAGGGGAAAATAACAATAGTGCTGTATTGTAGTATAAATTTCTTGACACAATGTATAGAATTCCCTGAGTTCGCTGTGCAAGTTTATTGATAACTAGAGAAACTTTTGGAATTATTCTTCACATAAGGCGCATCGAGAAAATGGAATCGATGAAGGGTGAACGGAAAAGGAGTGTTCACACAAAGTTGAGCAAACTATATGTAAGTTGTTTACCGTTTTCACTCTGATGCTTCAGTCGATTGTTGGAATTTCATTCAGAAAGTTATAGTTGACGCCTTTCAAAATAAAACTGAGTTACGTATAAGAGATTTCGTAGCAGTTGACACTCAACATTTCCGTAAACAAAAGAGGACTTGCTCTTTTAAGGAAATAGATTGTTTGTGGCTTTTGCGATATACATTTATATGACCAGTCGGTTATTGATTAGCGATGCGGATAGTTCCAAGAGAATTCCCCGTCGAACGCTGCACGGAGAGAAAAATGTACGTTCAGTGAAAAAGTGCGTAACTGTTCCGTAATTTTTTACTGAATACTGTTTTGACTGGCAGATTACGAAACCTGCATCTAATTTTTATTAAATTTTTCTCCCTGTGTGAAAATTAAGGAGGGCACGAACTCAACCGTCAGTAAAGATGCCCGTATTGCAATTGTACAAGAAGTTGAGACAAATGAAACCTGAAATTCAGTTGGTTGAGATCGGATGAGCATCCAAATACAGTCGGTGGACGATAATGAATAATAAACTCGTCATGAGTTAGTCATACCTGACATTGATCGAATATTTCCTAACTTTATAACGTGATAATTAATCTTGATGGGTATTTGTATCTTGAGATTACAGTATGAATCGCCGTCGATAAAAGCGCGCTCTTCACGGAATCTCATTCGCCGGCTGAATGTCATCAAAAACTGTTGGTCACTTATCAATGAATCATCTGTCACATTTTTTTTTCACCAGGTTCCGGAATAATCCGTCAAAGACACTATCACATTCCGGCCCACTTTATTCATTTTTCCATTCGTATTTATTATATCATTCAATTTTTTTATAAAAATTTTTTCATGCAATTTTTTGGAAAAAGTTCGATTTAAATAAACTCCAATTTCCGATGTTGAATTAAGTTCTTAACGTTTGCATTGTCGTTATAGGAAGATTAATAATATTCATCGTCACGAGCAAATCGTGGAGTTTTGGCTGTGAAATTTTTTTATTTAATTTTAATACTAGAAACATTATTGTCAGGAACTTTTTGAAATTTATTCACAGAAACTCAGGGAATTAAAACTCACTATTAAATTCTGTTTCATTATTAATTCCATTACTAAATTATTAACTTCATGTTAATAAAAAAAAGATGAGGTATGTGACACAGGTGGATAGAAAAGACAGGTACAACTTCAGTGCATCAGATAACGTCAACCGAATTCCGAACTTTCCTGAGTTTCGGGGGAAAATTAAGAATATGAAAGCGGTATAGGTCTGCGGGTACCTTATAAATTTTGAGTTTTCATGAAATACATTTTATACCAGAACCTCCAGAGCATGACGCCTACACTAGATAGCTAGAAACCCCTTACAAGAAAGGCAGGGATACCATGTCCGCATACAGGTTTACCATTGTATTTTATGCCAGGAAAAATCATGCATGACAAGCCAAGAGGAACGGATGGCCTGGGACTCGTGCGAGTCTTGAATTTTCATACTTTGAATAAATTAAATCTATTATCTTATATAAATTGGATCACCATGTTACACTGCTGTGGACTCCGTAATTTACATATATTGGATTATCTATTCCATTTAGATGAGACGAGTTTAACTCAACTTTAAATTATGATCCCTTTACACTGCAATTCTCTGATTAACGGGAACTAGCGAGACATTGATCTAATTAATCAGCAGATGTATAATTGGAATTGTTGGGGCGTGAATTTAGACCGGTGTAGCAGAACCCCCCGGTGTCAACGGTCGACGGACAAATGCGGAACAGGCAGGTGTGGAGACACACAAGGGGGGCTTAAAATATCCAAGTCAGTTAAACGAAAAAAAAGAACATGCATAGGGGTGATTGAAAGTGAAAAAGAGATGACCTGTATAAAGCGGCAAAAGCCAAGTGCAGATCGCTGTGTCCGTCGTTGTGTGTAGAGGGGATGAGTGAGGAGGTGCCGACTCGGAAGCGAGGTTTAAGCGCTCAGTTCAGCTGTGGCATGTGCTTCGCACCGCTTGTTTGTTATCTAATAATTCTCAGTGGATCGTCCATTGGTGGTAATTTTACTTTGCAAGGGTATTTGCGCATAACCGCCTTCGAAACCCTGCACCCGGACGGATCTGGAATTTAACTGTGCTACGACGCGAAAAAATCATTGGAAAATTGGTTTGAGAGTACGAATGTCCTCATTGAGATCGCGATACGGCTGACAGTCGTTCACAACACCAGAATGGTGGATAACTGGAGAAGTTGGTGTTGCTGGACCACAAGCTATTGGATGATTTATATTTGTATACTTCTAGTCTGCCGCATAAAAGGTCGGTTGGCTTTATTTATTTTAGTTTTTCACGATTATTCTAGGTATTTTTGTTGGACTATTTTAATTGGATATTTCTTCATGGGCTGGCTGGCTCTCATTTATTGTAATGGTACAATCCACATTGTTCGTATGTGCACTGGCTATATGTGATACAGTCGCACATTATTCAAGTACTGTTGCAGCCGTGGAATACATGTCCCGTAGTTTTCGGAAGAAACGTTGACAATTCGTCAAAATATTTCAACGGTCTGGCAATGCACCGATTTAACTCGCAAATTCAATCCCTCGTGGAAGTCATGACCAGTCTCCCAAGTGTGGAGCTCCCGGCTATTTATAATCCAAACTCGACAATGCACGGTCGTCATCTATACGGATTAAACCCGTGAATTCTATTAACAGTTGCCTGAAGCCCTTCAGTCAATTCTTGACATTTAATATACATAATAATTGATACAGAATGCAGATAAAGTGCGGGTATTTGTTAATGAATTTGAGTGTCCGGGGTTCTTGTCCAGCATAAACGATGAGTGGAATAAGTGATGAGTAGTCCAAGAGAATATTTTAAGGAACCTGGATCGAAACGAAATCCCTTTTCTTCATTACCAAACAATTAAACAAATAATTTTTATTAAATTTTCAATACTCCGGAAAGATCAATACACCTCATCATGCATAATAACCCGAGGACCTACCTACTCTTGGTATCACATGGTGAAATCAATTTGAAGTCGATTGGAAATCAACAGAAGTCACTGAAATCGTACGAAGTCACTGGAATCAGGTGATTTCAATCGACCAAGTCGGTTTTGAAGTCATTTCTCAAATCAATCGAAGTCATTGAAATCGCTTGCAATCAGTGGAATCATATATCGCTTGCTCTTGAATATAGTTATAGTTTGAATTTCCCACCGAAAAGAAATTCTCTCTAAACGCTTAGCAAAACACCTCCCTAACAACATTTTTCCAGGAATTGACTCAATCGCCTAAATGTTGCAAATCGACGAGCCTGCATCGACAACAAAAACACGAGTGTATTAATAAAGAGTTTATGTCATTGCGGCCGGTAAAACGCGTTTCTAACCTCGTTTCGCTCGGATAAAAACGCGTTTTCAGCCACAATGACATAAAATAGCATCATAGCCATGGCGAAAAAAGTGATTCTGACTCATGCGCGTTATAATCCTCGTCTCCGACTCCGACTATAAAGTCGCATTCGTCAGATTCCCTTTTTCCGTCCTAGGCGTGAAAAATACTATTAATTACGATAATTGTATCATTATGTTCTCGAACTATATCTGTTGTGATTTCGATGATTTCTTTCTAACTGCAATCGCTAACTACAAAATTGAAATCAAATGAAATCATTTGAACGTAAAGTCGTGGATTCTGAAGCAGTAAAATCGTCCCCCTTGCAATTGCCGAAATCCTGACTGAATTCATTTGAAGTCGACTTTAAAATGGAGTCGCCCTGTCACTCAATCCGGACTAAGTAGCTCGTCGTAATACCCAGTTAAATGAAATTTGCGAATTTGAAGCGATTTGATGGAAAAAAATTGCAATAAAAATATGAATACTCACGATATCGAATTTCGCTATGTGTATATGTATATATTTATTATGGCACCATTCCAAATCACATGGTGAAATTTTTTCCATTCTGTTATAGATAGGAATCGAGATAATCGTCCCATTCTATCCTCTTCAATTCCTTATTATGAAAGTAAAAACACAAAAATGAAGTTCGCCCGAGTCGAATAATCTCAAAACGTGCATGACTATTTTCTCATTGGTCAACTCCAGTCGCCAAATTCAAATTCGGCGCATGGAGTGTGCAGTAGGTCTTATATTTATTAACAGGGGATCGTGCGTGCCTGCTCCGCATGCGCATTTATTTCAAATGTCTGGGATTTACCCACGACATCGAGGTGGTGGTCGGCTTTGCCTTACGGGTCTTATTCTGACGATCATTCGAAATATTTCGCGATTGATTTACCCTCTCCTTTTTATAGTAGAATTAGGACACGACGTGGGAATTATTGAGTAATTTCTGAATTATTATGATACATTAGATATTGCGTACATTTAACAGCTGCCATCGGATTTCAAAATATCGGATATCGAAGAATACAATACCGGGGCAATAAAATATTCTCGTTATTCTTAGCTACTGCAAGATGCCGTGGCAAATATACATTAACTTGGCTCACGGGCCGGCGGGCATATATGAAAATGAGATAAATTCCTCACCGAATATATCTATGACACTCACTGCCGTCAGAATAGTCTAGTCTATAACTCATGTTAGTCTATAGTTATGCGAATTCTGAAAATCTTTGATAACTTTAAATGAGAGGGAAATCGACAGTTGACAAGAATATCTTTATCATGCTTCTCTGTCTCGTTCTCGAGACCAAATATGGTATGCTTTACTATGTTGGTCTCACAGAATTTCCAAGTTCAAAATTTCAAATTTGACGAATAGTGCTCCTGTAATACACCGTTAGTATTATAGCACTCTAGATTCATTATGTTTTTCTGTGCAATCCCCAGCCGTCCAGGAAAACGCTTTTGAGTCAAGTATCGAAAGAAAAAAGTATATACAGTCTTAAATAGCACCAGATAAGTTTGTTGCCTCATTTGTGACAAATTATGAGTTCAAGTCTCAGTCGGGGCGGATGGTGAGATCCAACCATTTTTAAAGTATAGAGAAGGGATACTAAGCCAGATCTATCCCAGAAAAAATCAATTTTTATCATCATTTTTTTAGTAAATAAACCAAATGGTCAAAAACGGTTTATTCTGAACTTAGAAAAACTGAATAAATTTTGCGAAGCTCCTAATTTCAAGATGGAGGATCTGTGAATGGCTTAAAGATTATTGAAAAAAAATGATCATTTACCAAAAATCGACTTAAGGTTGTTGTCGCGTAGAATTTTTTTTCGACAGTTTTCGTTAAAAATTTTATGGTGAATAGTTTGAAAAATTAGCAACAAAATGAGCCTTTTTCGTTTGCAATTGACCGTTTTGAACTTGAGATATAAATTTTTGAAATTCGAGTGATTTAACACGTGTTTAAATGGAGTTTTGCCGATTAGAATTTTTTAAAAATCAACGGCTCGACAGTTTTAGAAATAACAAAAAACGTGGAATATACATCGTGGGAGGAAATACAGAAAAAAAAATCAAATCGATTGACCGTTTGGTTTACGGAATATAATTATCGGAAATTCATGAATTTATATAATTGAAAATAGTTAATATGGTAAATATATAGTTATACGTTAGCTATCCATGCACAATGCAATCAATCAAGTGAGACTATATACCGCTAAAAGATTGTGTTCTAAACTGGCCCGTTTTACAGCGGATAAACTTTTTACAGAGACTGTCGCGCGACAACAACCTTAAAATCTGCTTATTTCCTAATACCAATTAGAAACTCCCACAGGAAGTAGTTACGTTTCTCGTTTCGGGGAATTTTTGTTGAATTTAATTGCCGACCTTTTGGACTAAATTCAGCTCTCTATGTCTTTACGAAACTTCTGAATCTCCTTTTATCGAGATGACATTTTATTGATTGGAAAATCCGAAGACGAGTGCCGAAAGAATATTCAAAGGGCACAAGAATGTTTGGAATCTCTAAAATTTGTTCTAAATAAGAAAAAATGCCAACTAAAACCTTCTCGTCGGGTAGAATTCTTAGGATTTGAAATTGATCGGAGAGGAAAAAATATAGTATCGTCCAGTTGATTGAAAGTTTTAAAAAACCGAAAAATTGTAAAATTAGAGAATTAGCAAAATTAATAGGCACATTGGTCTCATCCTATTCAGCAGTAGAATATGGAAAATATCACATGAAAATACATGAAAGAGAAAAATTTTGAGCTTTAAAAAATTGTTTATAAGATTATGAATCAGAAATAGAAATTCAGTCGAACATTCACAATTAACTCAACTGGTTAAGAGAAATACCATTTGCAAAACGAGTAATTAGACTCGATATATTCTTGTTAGAAATATCCACAGAATTGATTTGAGAATGAATTCTCATTCATTTTTGGCCAGAGCGTAACTCTGGGCCTTAGATTAAGCCGTTTTTGAGGGTGCTAGTACATTACACCCAAAAACACCCAAACATTCGAAGATTTGGGATCCCCAGATACTATGGAACTATTTGCAGCCATTACATCCTTACGAAAATCTTTCATTAGAAATAATAACACAGAAATTGATAATGCTCTTGGCACTGAGTACAGCTCAAAGGGTTCAAACACTCTCATTAATAAGATTGTTAAATATTGAAATATTGCAGGATAAGATTAGCATATCAATCACTATTGGAAATGGGATAGTGGAATAAATTAAAACACCGTTAATAAACTATAATCACTATTTCTTTATTAAAATCGCACGAAGAAGAATACCGCCCGAACTCTATCAATACATCTAGAGACCGAAGACAAGCCACAAAGACCATAAGAACATAAGAACCATAAGAACATTCGTTCTTTCCAAAGAAAGAACTCTCCAATGGATTTTTGTGAAACCATTGTTTATGCTCATACAAACTGTGAGGCGACTTCGTGGAGCCCTCCATATTGATTCATTTTTGTAATCATTATAAATCATTCTATGAATTTTAACTTGACATTCTAACAATCGCATACAGAACAAAAACATCCGAAAGAACCAAGGTACAACCCAAACTTACTCTTCCGTATTTTACACACTATCCCAGTTTTTGTACAGCGTCTATTCCACACCATTATCTAAAAATAACAGAACAATATCGAGGATTAGAGAATGATTATTTATTGCTGACGTTTAAAAAATCTTTTCATACATCGACTCGTCAGACAATCAGTAGGTGGTTAAAAAATGTCTTGAATGCAAGTGGTATCAATACAAATATATATACAGCACATAACACACGCCACGCATCCACGTCTCATACACGACAACAGGGCGTGAGTCTAAACGAAATATATAGTGCTACAG